CGCGTAGGTGCTGGTAGTGTTGTATTTTTTATCTGGTCGTTTTGCGTTTGAAGAACCACGTAATATTTGTATTTAAGTGTTTCTTTTATTAGGTGCCACCTTTATTAGATGTGAATTTTATTTTGAAATGCAGCTCGTGGGTTCTAATACAATACTATTTCGGAATTTTAGGCTTTAAAAAAAAAGACCTAGTTGTTTGTTTAAACTCTTCAAGGAATGCACCGTTCAAGCGTTTGTCTGTTTGAAACCTCTCTGTTTCATGCTTCCATAACTTTGTTACCTCCTAGGTATGATATGATTTTACTCGGTTTTTACCTGTAGCCTTCTTTCCTGTTTTTTTTTAGGTCGTAGTGCTGCATCTTTTGAGAATTTTTAGTTTTCTCTTTGTGTGGTGTTTATGAATTTCTTGTATTATTTTCTTTCCTAATGTTCATCTGAACTCTCAGAGTTTTGCGTTTTTTGGGTTTGTTTGAGGCAATTTGAACCATAAAATTATAAATTCCTTTAGTGAAATTCTTGGTCTTAATTTGTTCATTGAAAATTTTTATCTGAGGCTAATTCTTCAATTATTTGGGGTTAATTAGCAAACTTTGGCACTTAAAATGGCTAATTGTGTTTATATTTTTGTCAGCTTCAAATCTCAAGATTAGGAGAAGCAGAATTTGCTATACTGTCACTATGGTGCGTAGGAGAGGTTTTGATGAGTTTTTAACTTTATGTAATGTACTTTGTAACTTGTAGATGAGCAGCTCTTTTTTGATCCATGTCGCATTTTCAAACTTCTTCTGTGGGGACTAGTTTTTAGAGCCTAGTTCTTTGTTATCGTCACTTAATTGGTTAATAGAGGTGTGTGTATTTTAATTTTTTTGTAGTACCGTTCATGATGAGCAACAGTGGAACTCGCAGCATCAAGGCGGAGGATTTCCGCGTCATGAAGACAATGTCCCTGAGTAAGTTTTGGCAGAATTGGTCTCTTACAGATCTTTTACTGCTACTTTATGGGGTCAGCACTGTTTCATGTTTCAGTAACTCTCGTTGGGCTTCTTTGCGTGATCCAATCCCTGAGCGAGTCCAAAAATGGACTGAGCAGCTTCCTCGTGATGAGCGCCTAGAATCTGAGCTGTTTACTGGTTTAAACTCTGGTATCAATTTTGATAAATATGAGGAGATTCCGGTTGAAGCGACCGGACAAGATTGCCCTCACGCTATTGCATTGGTTATTCTTTTGATTATTTTTCGTTCTTTTCATCGATGCTTCCTGGTTTTTCGTTTCGAGTGTAGTTTTTTGTTTTTCAACGTTATATGATTTAGTTCTCGGACTTACAATTACATCCATGGATAGAAGAAAATATTCGTTTATCTGGTTATGTTCGTCCGACTCCAGTGCAAAAGTATTCCATCCCAACGTTAATGAATAATCGCGATCTTATGTCGTGTGCCCAGACTGGTTCGGGAAAAACTGCAGCATTCTTAGTACCGCTTATTAATAATGTACTTCAGAATGGACCGGATGCTTTGCTGCGGGTCAGCTTCATCATTTTTCCTTACCAGTGATTTTAACAATGGGAAGAGTTGTTTGACTATAAGCACTTTGACTTTTTTTTATTTGCGGCACGTTTTTTTTGAAACAAGTAGAAATTATTATAACAAATCTTTGCTTATTCCTGTATTGTCTGCTTATCACTTTATTCTGGTCAGGTGCTATGAAAATTAATGTTTTGATTTTGTTGAAGTTTTAATACTTTGTACGTTGCTTTCCTATTAGGTCATTCTACTGGTTAGAGTCCATGTCATATAAAGATTCTGTATTATCTTCAGTCTTTTTTAGAAAACGGTACTACAGAACGGTCGTCGTAAGCAGTATCCTGCAGCTCTTATTTTGTCACCGACGCGCGAACTTTCTATGCAAATATATAATGAGTCACGTAAATTTGCTTACCGCACTCCTATTACTTCAGCACTGCTTTATGGGGGCCGCGAGAATTATCGTGAACAGATTAATAAACTGCGTGTGCGTAATGTCTTTTCCATTTAGAAAGTTATTGCTCTTTGATAATGGGGCAAAAAAGAACGGTAGCTGCCTGCTAGAACTGTTGGAACATGCACTTTATAAAGTGTTATTTGTTGCCGCAGGCTATATAATTTTGAACCGATAAGGCATATGATAGTGATAAATTGATCTATTATATGACAGATTGTTCAAGACATATTTTCAGTTAGGGGTTCACATTCTTATTGCTACTCCGGGACGTCTTATTGATGTCATGGATCAAGGCTATATTGGTCTAGACGGCTGTCGATTTTTAGTTCTTGATGAGGCTGACCGTATGTTAGATATGGGTTTTGAACCTCAGATCAGACAGGTGAACGGGATGTTTTTTTTTTCTTTTTTTTTTTTTCTTGTGGAGTAAGTTACAGTTAATACATCCGATCACATTGAACTATGAAGGAGTCCTCGCTTAAGCATTAATAAAATTTCCTCAGCTGATTAATGTCAGTATCTTTTAATTATTATATTGCAGATTGTCGATCTCTCAAAAATGCCAAAAAAAGGTGACCGTGTCACGGCAATGTTTTCTGCAACTTTTCCAAAAGAGATTCAAGTACTTGCCCAGGATTTCTTAATGCCGAATTACGTGTTTCTGGCCGTTGGTCGCGTCGGTTCAACTTCAGAAAATATAATGCAAAAAATAGTTTGGGTAGAAGAGCATGAAAAAAAGTCGTTTTTAATGGATCTTTTGGATGCGGGAGGTTAGTGTTGGAGTTTATATCTGTTGTTGGAACCACTGGTTTAGTGTACCTGATTTGGGTTTTGCAGAACCGACTGCTTTAACTCTTGTTTTTGTGGAGACAAAGCGTGGTGCTAGTGACTTGGCCTCTTACCTACAGAAGGACGGTTATAACGTCGTCGCAATTCACGGAGATCTGAAGCAGTGGGAGCGTGAAAAACATTTAGAGACATTCCGTACTGGTGTTGCGCCTATTCTTGTAGCTACTGCAGTGAGTCTTTCAAAAGGCTTTTAAGTATACTGATCTTCCTGTTTATCTATATTTTTTAAAAAATTAGTTGTGCAGTTATAAATTCTCCTCATTTTCGGAGTCTTGGCATCGTTAGTATTTCTTAAGAAGCCATTTTAAGATATGAAAATTTTTGCAAAAGTTCTCATGAAATAGGTTGCTGCTCGCGGTCTTGATATTCCTAATGTGAAGCATGTTATTAATTATGATCTCCCATCAGATATCGACGAATATGTTCATAGAATTGGTAGGACCGGCCGTGTGGGGAACGTTGGTGAGCCGTTTAATTTGGTTGAAATATTAATTTTATTTTTGCCATTGCCTTCGGTTTTACCCAGAGAGGTTTCAGGGCTTGCCACTTCCTTCTTCAATGATAAAAACCGTAACATTGCACGAGATTTGGCAGACCTGATCGTTGAAGCTAATCAGGAATTACCAGAATGGCTTGAAAGATTATCAACTGATGCACAGCGTTACGGCACTCGTCCTAAGGGGTCCCGTGGAGGGTTCGCTCTTGGTTTTTTCACAGATTCGTACTGAAAATCGGAAAAAATTGCTCAAAAACTTAACCTTTTAGACGTTTTGGTGGTCGTGATCATCGTGTGCAGTACACCTGTGGCGGTACGAATGGGTCAAGTGGACAACATCGTCAAAATAATGGCAGTTATAATTCGAATTCTGGATGGAATCAGTCTCAGCGTCCACCACAACGTGTTGCTGCTATCCAGCAGGTACTAAAACACTGTTTTTAATGGAATTGGAGTTTTGATAGTCGTTTGTGCATATTTTTAAGCACAGTCGTCATCCGAAGAGAGAGTCATATAGGAATAAATAAGTCAATAAATAAGACTTAGGAAATTGAATGTTTGATTAATTTTGGGTTCTACTACTTATGTACAATAAAAATGCCGTTGCAGGACTGGTGGGCGTGATCGTTCGATTGTGGTATGACTATTTGCTACATTTATCTTAATTTCGCTTCATGATATTTCAGTTTTTAGTCTGAGTGTTAACTTCTGAATTCATGTTCTTATAGTTGTATTCATGTATTTTTGAATCCAAATACTTTTATCATGGTACTCTCTATCATGTTACTTCATCAACGCAACGAAATATCTTTGATCTAACATTTTACAAGTACTACGACAGCAGATGAATGGCGCCTTGGGCATTTGGGGGTGTTTGGCGGTTGATATTTATGTTGAAAAAATCCTCTTTCATAAATCCTATCTCATTTTTCCTTACATGGAATTAATCGGATTTTTTTTTTTTTTTTTTTTTTTTTTTTTTTTTTTTT